CCCAAGGAGCTCAGGAAGGGAGTGGGAATAATTGGAAATCCAGATGTTTTCCCCAACATGGAAAGCTGGCAAGAGCAGGAGCTTTTCTGAGTGGGGAGCATGTCACCCACCCATGTGCACAGGGATGAGCTCAGCCAGGTTGGGGTGCTGGCAGCTGCATGCGTTAGTGGGGTGCTGCAGAGGGCAGGAGGAGGGGCTACAGGGGAAGGCAGCAGCAGGATCTGGAGCCCACCTGCATCCTTCCCATGGATGCAAGGACAGAACAGAGCAGATTGATGCAGCTCAAGGTGAGAGGGGACCACTGCTCCATCACTTCTCACCTCGCCATGGACACTGCAGAGCCCTGTCTGTCATCTCACACGTGGCAGAGCCCCGCTACCAACACAGAGCCCAGGGAACCCCAGCCCCATGTCCTTCTCTCCCTTGGGCATGTGCATGGTGGAGGCATGATGCGATGAAGATGTCCTGGCCCATTTTCAAGCTGGATATTGGATGTAAGAGCCAAGGAGAGGAAGGCAAGCAAGCACATTTGCTCCAGAGCAAGCAGATCCACAGCCACTACCTCAACTGAGACTTAGCCCCCCCTGCAATATGTAATCCAGAGGGGGGATCAGAGGAAGGGTCCCTCTTTCTATCCCAGGAATGGGAAGCCAGCCGGGAGAGAGCCAGACCCATGGATCATGTGCATTCTTCCCCTGGGCAGTGCCTGCTCACTCCCCAGTGGAAACGGGCACCTGGGGTGTCCTGGCAGCCCCTGTTCCTTCCTGCCTTCTCCATGACTCATCCACTCCAGGGGAAAAGCCAGTCATTCAGCACACATGAGAAGGACCAAGGGAAGCATTCCATGGGAAAGGGGACGAGGCGGATGCTTCTCGCATGCCTCATCCCAGCGGCTCGCCCTTGGGTCTCTGCCTCTTGGCTGGCTGTGGGAAATGGCACTTGTTTCCCTTCCTGCCGCAGTCATGCTCCTACAGCACCATGAGGTGGGGGGGATCAGAGGTAGAGCTCTGGAGCCCCATGAAACCTCAGTGCATCCATAGCCCAGGTATGAGGTGCCAGAGTGGATGTGGATGGGAAAACTGGAGGAGAGACCAATGGGGATGGCGGTGAAGTTCCCTCTGTGGAGGTAACCCCAAGAGCAAACAGCCTCCAAACTGAATGTCCTGGCACAGGGCAGTGCTGCTTGCTTGGGGGACCATCCCAGCATCCCTGAGGCTGTCACCTCCCCTCTCCCAGCCTGTGCTCAGCATCTTCCCAGGAGAGGAATGGTCAGCTTTGACTCAGCTGGGAACAACAAAAAGAGGAATCAAAGTCCTTTGGTCCAGCAAAAAAGACTCAAAATAGGAGCTATTTCCACCCTGGGAAGAGGAAATTCCCAGCTCCCGGTGGAGGAGCTTGTGCTAGCTGGCTCTGCTGAACAGACTGCCTCAGGCTGCTCAGTGCCTGGATGCCCTCAGGTTCTGCCTCCCCAAGACAGGATGCACAGGAGCTGGGAAGGATTGCTTCCATAAAGATAGCCACGATTGAGGACCCTCATACCCATCGTGCATAGGGTAGCACCAGGAGCTGACCATGGGCCTGTTGACATGTGCCCTATCACTTTCTGGGCCACCCCTGAGCTGTCAAGGATTCACTGACATTGCATGGAATCACAGAATCCCAGCCTGGTTTGGGTTGGAAGGGACCTTAAAGCTCATCCTCACAGGGAAGAGCCTCTGCCTAAGAGGTCATCTCCGTCTCCCCTCTGGCAGGTCAAAGCCATTCCCCTTGTCCTGTCCCTACAGGCCCTTGCCCAAAGCCTCTCTCCAGGTTTCCTGTAGAATCCTGAAGAATCTGGCTCTAAGTAGCTGATGTTTTGGGTTTTCCCGCAACAACATCTCTGTTACCCAGACATGTGCTGTGGCATTGGAGGGGATTTGATTTCCCTTCCTCATTTACTGCAGTGCTGTCCTTTTATTGCCCTGTTGAAGTGCACTGAACATGAGCTGCTTTTCCCACATCAGACCAGATCCTCTCGCTCAATCTTGGTGAGGAGCCAGGATGAGAAAATCAGGGCTGCTTGGAGACCTCAGAGCAGTTCCAGTGTCTGCAGGGGGCTACAAGGATGCTGGGAAGGGACTCTTCATCAGGGACTGCAGCGACAGGACAAGGGGTGATGGGTTCAAACTGAAACAGGAGAAGTTCAGGTTGGAGCTAAGGCAGAAGTTCTTCCCTGTGAGGGTGCTGAGGCGCTGGCACAGGGTGCCCAGAGAAGCTGTGGCTGCCCCATCCCTGGCAGTGTTGAAGGCCAGGTTGGACACAGGGGTTTGGAGCACCCTGCTCTAGTGGAAGGTGTCCCTGCCCGTGGCAGGGGTTGGAACTGGATGATCTTAAGGTCCTTTCCAACCAAAACCATGCTATGGTTCTATGAACGGCCCTCTTTAACCCTTTTCTCAACCCAACTCACAGACTGCAGCTCCCTGCCTGTTTCCTGGGGCTAACCACTGGCAGTGGTTCAGGAAGCACTGCAGGCAGGTCCTGGGCACCAGTGTGCGGCCAAGCAGTCTATATATGCATATACATATATATATATGTGTGTGAGCCTGACCTCCTGCCCAACCCTGGTGATGGGAAACCCATTTTCCCCCAGCACTTCAGAGCTGCCTTTGGCTCGTCTTCACTTGCTCAGCAAACGCCCCTGTAACAGGTCAGCACTTTCTTCACAGCAAAGCTATGTGAAGAATGTCTCCTAAGGCAGCTGGAGCCTTTCCAAAGAGGGTGAGCTACCAAAGACACATTTCCCCCACTCAATCCCCCAGGCAGTGAAGGAAGGTGCAAACCTGGCCCTTGAAGGCTTGCTGTGCACTTCCACTTGGGCTCCTGTGCCCTCCTGAGCTGGGGAAGGAGAGGCTCTCTTCACTCCCCTCCCATGCCTGCCTTGAATGCCCTTAGGGAGAGGGCTGGTTCTGCCATATCCCTCCCAGGAAGAACTTGAGGTGCAGCAGGTAGAAGACACAGGCCAGGGTCTGCAGGTCTCCAGGCATCCCTCTCCTCTGGTACAGGACTGCAGGCAAGAGGAAGATCCTGATGTGCAGGATGTGTGGGGCTCCTCGGGCACTTGCTGGTATCCTTGCCTGCTGTGGTTTATTCCTGCCTTTAATCCCATACGCCAGCTGTTGTGTTCATGTGCTCAGCTGAGACACTAGGATTTCCCATTAAATCCCAGCCCTCCCGCCATGGAAAGACATTTGCAGATGTGCCCCCTTGGGCCTGCTTTCCACCTGCTCCAACCCAGCTCACTGGGGTCCTGCAGAGCTGTTGCCAGCAAAGCCCACAGCCCATCTCCAGCCCTGCTGGCACTAGGAGCAATGCCCTCCAGCCACGAATACCAAACCACTCCCTGCATGTGCAAACCCAGCTGCAGCTGAAATTGCTTATCCAGGCATCAGGGACTTCCTGCTCTTCAGGAGCACAGAATCACAGACAGGGTTTGGAAGGGACTCTCTGGTCCATCACCATGACAGTGGGCTGGGGATGTCCTTGGACTTGTGGAACAGGCAGTTTCTCTACCTCAGGTGTTGTGTGGACCTCACACGTGTGTGGTAGGGAGCTTGCCTTCCAAGGGCTGGAAGGCCCTTGGGCTGATGATGGAGAGCTTTGTGTCTGGTCCATTGCCTGGACAGAGCACTCAGGTCCACACTGCAGCCTTGCTCCTGCTGTTGCCTCCAGCCTTTGCTCCTGCTGCCCCTGGCTGGAGCTCAGCCGTGCTCCATCCTCCTGCTGTGGCCGCTCACAGAGCCTGGTACTCACACACAGCATGGTAGGGAGTGAGCTCCTGCAAAGCAGGTCAGGGTGCAATCAAATCCCAGCCTGGTTTGTGTTGGAAGGGACCTTAAAGCTCATCCAGTTCCAACCCACTGCCAACAAGCAGGACACCCTCCACAAGCCCCTGCATGTCCAGTGCAGCTCCAGATGTGTTCTTTCTGCAGAGATATGTTTATTAGCCACGTCAGACTTGTATCAGGGAACCCAAACAGGGGTCAGCTTAATGCAGACTGGTGACTGAACCTACTGACAATGCAAACAGAACCCTCAAACACCACAGCCTGTGCCTGTCCAGAGCACCCCTTGGGAACAACACAAACCCTGACAGGTAACAAACACCTTCCTCTTCATGAGCACAAGGGCTGCTGGGTGCCAGGAGCATTAAACCTATTGAGGCACCATGAGCACAGGGAAAACATGGAGCTGTTGAAGTGAGTCTGGAGGAGGCCCCAGAGATGCTGCGAGGGCTGGAGCAGCTCTGCTCTGGAGCCAGGCTGAGAGAGCTGGGCTGCTTCAGCCTGGACAAGAGAACGCCCCTCAAGGGGAGACCTCAGAGCAGCTCCAGTGCCTAAAGGGGCTGCAGGAAACCTGGAGAGGGGCTTTGGACAAGGACCTGTAGGGACAGGACAAGGGGAATGGCTTTAACCTGCCAGAACAGGGGAGATTGAGATGAGCTCTTAGGCAGAAGCTCTTCCCTGTGAGGGTGCTGAGGTGCTGGCACAGGGTGCCCAGAGAAGCTGTGGCTGCCCCATCCTTGGCAGTGTTCAAGGCCAGGTTGGACACAGTTGCTTGGAGCAACCTGCTCTAGTGGAAGGTGTCCCTGCCCACAGCACGGGGTTAGAACTGGGTGAGCTTTAAGGTCCCTTCCAACACAAACCAGGCTGTGCTGCTATGATCTTACAGGTGCCAGGACAATAAAGGTTGGCCAGTGGAGTCTAGCTGGTGGCATTTTGGGTCTTCTGGTTTGTAAGGCTTCCCTGCCCTAGGTGGTCCTCCATGCCACGTCAGAGGCATTGGGCCTGTCACCAGCATCACTTTGCTCCCAGCATGAAGCCAGCGCATTAATCCTTCCCATGTCCCATCTTGCCTATCAAGCAGGGCCAGCAGAGTGAGGCAAAGCAGGGCATGAAGGAAGGGATGCAGGGAGATGAACCACTCTACTCCAGCACACTTTATTTACCCCTTGGCAAACCATACAGGCTTACCACTAGGTGTGAAAGGCAGAAGGGATGATTCTCCCAACCACTCTGAGCTAAGGAGGAGCTTGGTTGGAACTTCCTCACCCTCCTGCCCAGAAACGTCTCAACAGGTTGGTACCCACCTCTCCCAAAGTCCCTGTTGAATAGCCCAAACCCAGCTGCCTCTGCTCACCAACTCCAGATCCCATACAGACCCTGCAGATGCTGCTGAGCTTCTCCAAGTGCTTGATAACATCCCTTTTCCAGAGGAACAGGGAGAGGAAATGAAGACTGCAGGGGATGGGGAGCAAGCACACTCAGGCAGGCTGAGATACTGCAGGGAACCCAACATGGCAAGGGTGGTCCTCATCACAGAGGTGAGGAGGAGCCCATGTTGCATTGAGAAACAGCAATCCAGTGCTACATTGCATGTAAAGCAGCAGGTCCATCTGCAAGAGGTTGCCATGAGCACACAGGCCAGCAAACAATGTGTCCTTCCTTGGATCCTCAAAGTCTGCCATCCTCTTTGCTGGCATGGCTGCATCTCCCTTAAAGACCTGTTAAAAACCCAACTAAATGAACAAAACACTTCACCTTAGGCTGCCTGAAAGCTCTGCTAGGGAACTCCATTTCAAGCACTGGAAGACACAATTCCTGAGACCAGGAAGCACTCAGAGGCGATGCATGGCCAGAATGCTCCCAATTGCTGGTGGCTCTTCAAAATGTGGCTCCTAGTTCACAGTGATGCTTCAAACCCAGGCTGCCCACAAAGGATGCTGTGCCTGCATCCCCTGGGTACCACTTCTCGCTCTATCCATGAGAGCTGGGGCACCCCTCAGGTCCTGCAGCCCTCACACCTCACCTTAAGCTGGACCTCACAGGCACACAGAGGTTGCCCACCCATGAAGGAGGATGCTGATGGGAAGCCAGGACCCTGCTCGAGTGCTCCTGCACCCACCTTTGTAGGAAGAGATGCTGAGAACCTCAAATACTAGCCTGGTGATGTTTCAGGGTGGCTTTCACTGGGGAAAGGCAAAGCAACAGGATGCTGGGGAAGGGATGTCTTAGGGGTATCCCTGAAGAAGTTGCTTTCATGGCTGAAAAGGCTATTTCCATACTGGCACTCGGGCAGCACATCGTGGTCTGGCAGTGTGGGTCCAACACTGGACCCCAGCAGGAGGCTGCTGTGCTGCACTGGACGTGCCCCACTGCAACAAGGAGCTGCCCCAGCCTGCAGCAGCCACTGCATGGACCATTTGTCCTCTTGGAACACTGCCTGCTCCCTTTCCCAGGACAAGCTGGGCTCTAGGTGAGATATATGGGGCCCTTTGGGGAAGTCCCCATCCTCTGGTGATGCTCTTGCAGGGAGAACAGCCTCCTCCTCATGGAGGTCCCCCTGGGAGAACAAAGACTCATGCAAGCTCTGTGCAGGGCAAGGAGCAGGTTGGGAGGGCAGCAACAACAACTCAGCCCCTGGGAGGCTCTTGGGCCTGCCAGCCAGCACAGACTGGGACTCCAGATGTATTTCTGCTTCTTCCAGATGTTTCAGAGCTATCCAAGCGTCCGGCTGGCAGCCTCCAGAAGTGCTCTGCCCCAAAGCATTGCCTGGGTTTGCCTGAACAGGGACATTGTGCCACTGGGTCACTGGTGTGTTTGAGTGCAATGGTGGTGGGCAGCTTGAGCCCACCAGCTTGCCCCCAGGCTGGATGTCATCATTAGGAACAGTGTTATCCATAGGAGCAGAGGTGGGAACTCCTGCTTGAAGCCCTTGTCCTGGCTTTGCCAGCTCAAATGGGGCATTCAGAACAGTGCCCTCCACCAGCCCAGCTGAGTTAGACAGAACCTGTTGCTCTAGTTGAGCAGAGCTGATGGAGACCAGAGGGACCACAGCATCTTGGCCTTGGGCACCAGGTGCTTGGGTCTGTGCTGGGCCTTGAAACACTGATTGAGCTGCCCAGCAGTGCTGGAGATGAGCTGCAGCACCATCCTCCTCATTGCAGAGTAGGAATGCCATGCTCTTCCCAACATCCTGCCCAAGGAACATCTGCTCCATGTAGGATGCCACTTCAGTGCCAATCTCCTGAGCTGGTGACTTCTCTGCACCCAAACTGAGCAGAGCATCCTCCCACCACTGCAGCTCTGCAGTGTCCATGTTGAGGCTCTGCAGTGCCTGGGAGATGTTTCCATCCACCTCACTCTTCTCAAAGAGGGTCTCAATAATGACCAGGAGGGAGTCACTGTCCTTGGCATCACTGACTCCTTCATCCTGACTCAGGCCATCAAGCTCAGCAATGAGCTGAAGCACATTATCAGCATGGGAGCTGTATATGGATGCATCCTGCATTATCACGGGCCCAAGAAGAGGGTTGGGATCTACCAAGCACTGCTTTGGGTGGGAGTGTGCTTGTATCTGTGGCTCCTCCTTTGCCTGGAAGGAGTCCAGGGTCTCAGGAAGGTCATTCCTGTATAAGATCGCTTCCCCCGTCACAAAAGTAAAAGGCAGCTGCAGGTTTCTCTTCCACAGATTCTCCTCTCCTTCTTCATCCCTTCAGGACAGAGGAAAAAATGATGGAAAACAGCATGAGCACCTCCTCTACAAGGGACCAGACAAAACCACCCTCTCAACAGTGAGACAGGAGCTCACAGCCCTGGCTTTTCTAAAGCACATGGGCTGGCTACAATGCTACTGGTGGAGGACTGCGGCTCTGGGAAGGGCTGAGAGAACAACTGTGTGTCCATAGCTTGTCCCAGGCAGGAATGAGTGTAGAATCATGGAATGGTTTGGGTTGGAAGGGACCTTAAAGCTCATCCAGTTCCAACCCCAACTTCTGCCTAAGGTCTAATCTAACGCTGAGAGCATTGAGGGCAAATGGAGACACAGAGATACTCACGAGAGGGCTCGCTGCTGGGCAATGATGCAGTCGGGTTTGCCCCCCTTGTACACCAGCCAGGCATTGCCCTGCACCCACACCCAGGCACCCTTCTTGGTCAGGAGCCGGAAGACTATCAGCCCACTCTCCCCTGTCTTCATCACTAGGGCAGGGAGACAAGAGAGGAAGCAGGGACATGGTTATTGCATAGGTATAAGGCACCAGAGCTTGAGCATCACCTCATGCCCGTGCTACAGGGGCAATGTGGGATGCAGCCAGCATGGCACATCCAGTGCTGTCTGTGCAGCCCCACCAAGGAGCAAGAGTGCTGGGGAGCCATAAGAACCCCCCCTTCCCCCAAGCCCCCTCATCCCAGTGTGTCTCCCCCCAACACTCACTTCTTATGTGGCTCTCGGCACAGTACATCATGTCAGCGGCGTGCACAAACTGGTACCCAGACCCAATCCTGCAGAGCTCTGTTTCCGTGTACCCCAGGACAACAGTCCCCCTGGAAATATGGGGACCAACAGGGATACCAGGGATGGATTCCCCAATTGCATCCCACCAGCCAGATGTGATTCCCTACCCAACAGCTTCCCACTCTGGGTACAACTCCCCATCCTGGGCTGAGCTGTATCCCTTCTCCCACAGAACCATCCCATGCTGGGTTGGCTGGGCTAAAACCCAGCAGCCAAGAAGTGCTGTCACTCAGTTAATCTGCTCATCATGGTACTGGGGGACTGCAGTGGATGGACTGAAGCATCAGACACCTTGCCATGGGAGTCAGGTCAGAAGCACCCTGCTTCTATGGGCATGGGTTTTCCATCCATTTTGCCATAGGGAAAGTGAGATGTCTTACTGGGAATCACAGGCCACAGGGGTGAAGTCCAGCTTGTGCTTTGTCTGGAAGATCAGCGTCTCGGTCCGGAGCTCCAGGATGGAGAATGGCTGAAGGACAGTTGCGATGGCGAAGAAGACAAATGGAGACCTGTCTGATGGTGACTTCTGCTGCCCAAGGAGGCGTTTCAAGCGCCCATGGAAACGCAAGGCCTTGGATGGGGTTAGAGAATATGGGTGTGAAGTGAACAGGGTGATGGGGACTGGCTGCGCTGCCTCCCCATGAAACTTCAGTGGTTCCTTGGGAACACCACAGAATCATAGAGGGGTATCCCAGCATTACCAGAAATCCCGAGGAGTTATCCAGCAAGCAGCGGAAGCGGCAGGTGAAGCTTCTCTCCATGAAGGAGGGCTCCTCGGGGCTGGATGTGGTGCTGCATCCAGCCAGCAGCTCCATGGGAAAGGCTGGGTAACCAAAGGGAAAATGAAGCCTTCTAAGATGGACATACCTCAAAGCCTTCTAGAACTTCCTGGTGGAGACTTTAATGCTCAGATGAGTCATGGAATGGTTTGCATTGGAAGGGACCTTAAAGCTTATCCAGTTCCAGCCCCTGCCACAGGCAGCGACACCTTCCACTAGAGCAGGTTGCTCCAAGCCCCTGTGTCCAATCTGGCCTTCAACACTTCCAGGGATGGGGCAGCCACAGCTTCTCTGGGCACCCTGTGCCAGCGCCTCAGCAACCTCACAGGGAAGAACTTCTGCCTAAGAGCTTAACTCAGTCTCCCCTGTTTCCATTTGAACCCATCACCCCTTGTCCTATCACTACAGTCTCTGATGAAGAGTCCCTCTCCAGCATCCTTGTAGCCCCCTTCAGACACTGGAAGCTGCTCCGAGGTCTCCACGCAGCTTCTCTTCTCCAATGAATGAGCCCATGATCTCCACCTGATGGGCAGTATCTTCCCAAGCTTGTCATGGGAAGGCAAAGTCCTCTTGCCCCTTCACACAGGAGCAAGGCAACAACCTGCTCCCATTGGAATGAATAGGATTTCAAATCCTGAAAAGCAAAAAAGTTTGGGGAAAACATCCCCATCTGCATAGCACAGCACAAACCTGTTGGTGACAGCCATGGGATGGCTGCAAGTCCCAGCTATGGGATGTTCCCTGTGCTTGGTGGCTCTAAGCACCAGGAGGGGTTTCCAGCATGGAGTGGCCATGCAGAGGGATCACCCTGGCACTCACCATGCGGGCTGCTGCTGGACACTGGAGCCCTGTGCAGTTGGTGGTGGAAGGCAGCTCTGTCATCCGTATGGATCAGCTCGTACACACTCTGGTGGATGAGATCCGACTGGAACGACACGAGGAGAGTTCTTGTTGAAGAAAGGCCTGGAAAAGGTGTCTGGAGGGGGACACAGCAGAAGCCTTTCCTTCATGGATACTAAAAGCACCGCAATAGAGCATAAAGAGGCAAACACAAAGCTTTGTGTGCCTTGAGAACAAGGACCAGGAACCTGCTGGCTATTAAGAAGGGTGGCTCAGGAAGAAGGAAAAGCGAGCAGAGATGGGGAAAAGCCTCTGGCACTGTGGGAACAGCTCAGAGGTTTCTATAATGCAAATGGTAATGTCCAAGGAAGCACAGTGCCTGTATCCCCAGCATCCTCTGGCCATAGCTAAACAGAGCTTTCCAGCCTGTTCCCCACAGGTTCTCCTGGTGTCCCCTAGCCTTTCCAAGGATGTCCCACACTGGCTCTGGTGCCTGATCCTTAACCACAGTCCATGGGGAATGGACTCCCAGCCTGCTCTTTGGGAAGTTTTTCTCCCCATATGTGGGATGCACGTTGCAGCAGTGGCATTTACCTGGCATGTCTTAGCCTCTAGCATCATCTCAGGACCAAATCAGACCCAGGGCCACAAGGGTTATGGGTTGTCAGAGGGGAATGTGTTGGTGGGGTACAAACTGCAGCCTCCAGCAGCACACAAGCTCCCTCTTTGCATTGACATCCCTGGCTCTCTGCTTTGTTTCTCCCACAGGATCAATGCATAAAGTAATTCCGAGGTTGATCAAACAATTTTGACCAAACCTATCCATTTTCTGTCGTTCTCCCCCCCCCCCCAGATTTATGCAAAGGGATTTGGTGGTTTAAAAAGTGGGTTTGTATGGGGTTTAACTCCTAGCCCCCCTAAGAGTGGGGATCTGTATCCCAACGCAAACCACCTTCCTTAAGTGGGCCACCAGGGAACAGGCACATGCTGATGCTGAGCTGTAAAAGCCACACAGCAAGAACACCAGCACGTCCTCACATCTGCCTCCCAACACAACCCCCTTCTTCTAGGGCCATGCCTTGCCCATCCTAGTCCTGCACACTGTGATGGTCAGCATGGTTCTGACCACCCATGGGCAGCTCAGGCCACTCCATTAAGAAAGGGTCAGAGCAGAGCATCCTGCTTAACCAGACACACAGGTACACTGAGAAGACCACTCCCTGCCTGACTGCCCTGACTTTGGGGCATCAGCCCAAGGAACAAGGGATGGGACAAGAGGAAACAGCCTCAAGCTGCACCAGGAGAGGTTTAGGTGGAGCTGAGGAACAATTCCTTCCACAGAGAGTGCTCAGGCATTGGAACAGGCTGCCCAGGGCAGTGCTGGGGTCACCACATCAGTCCCTGCAGGTACACCAGCACCTATGCAGGTTTGGCAGCCCCACAGCCCTGCTGTGGACTCAGTCCTTTGGCCAGAACTGGAGGTAACAGGGTGGATGTGGGCTGAGACCTGCTTGTCCTTGGCATCCCAGGTAAGCCATGGTACTGACCCTGACGCCAAGATGCCCTCAAGCACAAGTGCCCAGCAGCATGATCCAAGACAACTCTCACACCACCCTTCCACAGGGAGATAAGAAGCTAAAGCCTGCCATTGCTCAACTTGCATCTGTTCCTACTAAATCACAAGCATTCTGGTTGGCTTTCACAGCCCCCAAAGGACACGAGTCATGTGAAAACATACATCCAGAATGACCCAAGGGAGCTGGGAAGGAAGAATAAAGCCCTGGCATCACTTTTAGCAGCATCTCCTTCCCAAAGCTGGACTGCATCCCTCTGGTTACAGCTATGGTACCCACCTGATGAAAGCCCAGGTAGTCCTGCACAGTAGGGGAGATGTAGAAGATACAACCATCTCCCGTCACAGCGATGACAAACCCATTGAGTGCCTGAAAGCAGAAGTTGAGCCCAGAGTTACTCTCCCCAGCTACAATCCAACTGCTGGAAGATGAACTTCTCCAAGTGTTTCTTCAGCATTTGGAGATAGGAAGGGACTTTCTTCATCAGCAAGATGATGGAAGCAACTTGGGATCATGCAAGACTTTAATCCTGGTAAGTTGGTGGATTTGAGGGGGTTTCTTCAGTGTTAGCATGAGCAATGATCCAAGGCAGACTGACCATTTCTAGACCCATCACTGCTATAGAAGGTATAGCTACGCTCTTCTGTGGCAAACATGGATTTTGCCCTTACTGCCCAACTCAACTGCACTGAGTTGCCCCTGGGAGGGACCATGGGGAAATGCTGTGTCATAGAATGGTTTGGGTTGGAAGGGACCTTAAAACTCATCCAGTTCCAACCCCTTCCATGGGCAGGGACACCTTCCACTAGAGCAGGTTGCTCCAAGCCCCTGTGTCCAACCTGGCCTTGAGCACAGCCAAGGATGGAGACCAGGATGGAGAGAAGGCTCTTGCCTTCCAAGCTGCTCCTTTGGCTCTGTCCCTCCTTGCAAAGAGGAGGCAGGAGCAATCTGCTGCCACAGATCATGCACTTGCCCATTTACAATGACACTGAAGCTCGTGGGAGCTGGCTTTATTTAGCAACAGGGATTACTTGAATGGGTGTCTGATCCTGCACAGATCCAGCTTGCAGCAGAACCAGTCCCTTCCCTTTGTGTGCTGCAGTCCCCACGGGTCCCTGACTCAGAGGCTGTCCTGCAGATGACAATATGTGACTAATACACTCTTCAAAGCAGAACCAACCTAAACCACCAGGCAGCTCAGCTGGGGGATTTGTATCCCATTAACACCTCACAAGCTCTCCAGATGCCTCCAGTCACCCAAAGGTGCCAATGCTCAACAAATTGCCATCATAAGGCTCAGATTAAGCCTCCAGAGAGCTGCTCCATCATGGGACTGGGGCAACCACAGGCTCCCTCCTGACTATCATAGAACCATAGAATAGTTAGGGGTGGAAAGGACTTTAAGATCATCAAGTTCCAACCCTGTTGGGTTGGAAGGCAACAAAGGCAGACTTTAAGGAGAGCCAAACACCCATTTGCTGGTGGAAGAAGAGAGAAGGGGACAAGGCCCATAAAGCACAGACACATGCTGTGTCAGAAACAGCCATGGAACAACTCAAGGTCTTGCATGGACTTGTCCTGCAGCCCCAAGGTGTGGCAAGCTTAGAGCTGACATGCCCAGATGTTTAATCTGCAACCAGCCTTTCTGTGTGACTTTTCATACCTCATTTCCTTCCTGCTTCCATTGGCAGCCCAAACAAGCAGCATTCAGCTGATTCACCAGCTCCTCTGAAGTTCACCGACGGCTGTTTCATTACACACACACACACACACTGGCCTCTCTACAAAGGAGAGCTCCCATCACCCTATGATTCTGTCCACCAGTGCCTTCCAAGATCCAGCTTTCCATCCCCAAACTGAACCATCTTCCATCCCAGGAGCTCATCCTCAGGAATTCATGCAATGCCTCAGGTAGAGCAAAATGCTCCTGGTGGATGTTTTACCCTACTACTGCTATCACCATTCTCCTCTTGGCATTGACTGGAACACAAGAAACCCACCACCTCAGACACTAACCAGGGATCAATCCCTGCACTGCTGCATGATAGGGCACAATCTACCACCCCAAGCCCTGCTCTGTTACAGATGCAGTTTATGGGACAAATACACTGAAAAGGGGCAGTAAACTGTGTGGGGTGAAAAGAGTGGGTCCAGGGCCCCATCCCAGCCTTGCAGTGTCACTGCTCCCTGCCCCAAGGTGCTCAGTGCCTGTAGAATAGCAGTGAAGGTAAAGCAGGGTCTCCTCTTGCTGATGGGACCCCATGTTCCATTGCATGGGACCATGGCTGGGTGGCAGGAGCCAAGGGAAAAGCCCACACAACCCAAGCTACAGCATCATACCTGGAGCAGCAGTTCCCCCTCAGGAAACAGCTCCCTGTTGACCTGTGGGCTCATCCATCTGCTCCCTCCGGGGGCTCGGGGCTGCTCCAGCATGTAGTCACCGACATCCATAGCTGTGGCTGCGAGTAAGAGGGCAAGTAATGAGCATGGAAGGGGTAAAGTGGGAGCCTCTCCCTCCTTCTCCTCCTCCTCCCAGCCTCAGGGTTACTCACGCATAGGCTGCATCACTGCACATGGATGCAGCCTGCAGGAAGATGGGAGCAGTGGGGACTGGAGAAGAGCCCCTTTACAGAGACATATAGAGACATGCCCAACTTGCTCAATGCTTCCTCCAAGGGGTTATCATCCCATTGCTGGGAAACCTCATTTCTGCCAAGGTCTGAGCAGAGATGCAAAGCATAGGAGGGAGGAAACACTACACAACACAGCAAGAAGTCTTCAGGTTAGAGCTGGGAAGAGCTGAAGTTGCCTTCAAGCCACCCCACTGCCACGACGTCTTCTTTCCTGCCCTTCATGGATGACAAAAGACAGTGGAAAACCTTCCCAAAACATCCGAGATAACACCAAAGCACTCACACTTCTTCCTTCTGCCTTTGGCTGCTCAGAAGCAGATCAGAGGGTTGGTGGCCATGACATTCCCAATGAGACACTGAGCAGCTCTTGGCTCTCATTGTCATGACCTCCCCATGCTGCCTCGCATGTCCTCACTGGATGCCTTCAAGGCAACACCCATGGTTAGCAGACCTCAAGCATCACAGGGCACTCAGAACTGGTTGCTCAGGGAATAGAACAGGAATGAGGACAGCAATTCCCCAGGGATATCCCCAGCGTGGTACTTCATCAGCTGGGGAATTCTCATTGAGCAAACTCAATCCAAACTCAGCTTTCAGCAAAACTTAATGCATGCCTTTGCACCACCTCAACCAAAACCCCACAGGGTAAGGCTCACAGCAGCTCTCACATAGGAATCACCTCACTGCTTCAAGCTTCTGCAGCAACCCAGTGCTGGCCAGAGCTCAACACTGGCCTTGGCTTTCCAATGGTGCTGCATGGCCTTGGCTGGATTCAGAAAGAAAAGGTCTTCTGAACTGAGAGAAGTGGTAGGAAATGAGGAACAAGCACAAACCATCCCAAGTCTGACCACGCAGTTGATTTTTAACATGGTAGAAGCTCTCACCTCCCCACAGAACAGCTTTCAAGGTTTGTTGGTCTATTTCCCAACCCCAATAGCCCAGTGTTCAAAGCCAAAGTAAACCCAAACCTAACCAGGTTTCACCTGAAACTTCTGGAATGAGGCATTCTGCTCTTCAAACCATTACCAGGCATGTTTGTATTAAAACTAGCCTGAGGGCAAAACATTGTTCAGATCTATTGACATGTGGAGCCTGAGTGCCAGCAAGCCCACAGGCTGCCAGCAGCCAGGCACATGGTTAAAGACACTTAGCTGAAGGTCTTGCATAAGGTGGCACAGAGGAGCAGTGGAGAGGATGCTCTGAGCCCATTAAGCAGAATTAACCTCAATCTCCATCACTGATAGTACCGAGCTGGCTTCATAGAATCATGGAATGGTTTGGGTTGTAAGGGGCCTTAAAGCTCATCCAGTTCCAACCCCTGCCATGGGCAGGGACACCTTCCAGTAGAGCAGGCTGCTGTGAGCCCTGTCCAACTTCATCTCAATCTCCCCTCTGGCAGGTTAAAGCCATTCCCCTTGTCCTGTTGGTCACTTTAGCCTTCATCACAAACCTGCATTGCGCCCCACACGAGCTCCTATTCCCTTTGCAAAGACACTTCCCAAATCAGCAAGAGGAGGATCAGCCCATCCAGGGGATGAGAGACCTCTGGGAAAGGCTGGGAAAGAGGAGGATCAGTGCTAGGAAAGTGGTCTCTGTGCTCATCTTATCCATCAGCCAGGGAAAGGCACAGCAAAAGGCAGGTTCAAGGCACTCACCCAGCAAAAAGGCTTCTCGCACCATTGCCAAGCAATCCCCAAGGACAAACTTCCAAAGCCCATCTGGACCATGGGTATGGCTTCAATTTGCACATGATGGAGCAGAATAGTTTTGACATGAAACAGCAGTTCTGCCTTTAAACCCTGGATTCTTTGGAAGGGCTGACTCCTCTCCAAAGCATTGCAATGAGATAAGATGGCAGGGTGATATGAAAGGAAACCAAGCTCTTCCAACTTTAAGCTCCAAAAGGGCAGAGTGTTTTGCAAGGATGCACATCCTGAAGGCACATGGTCTCCAGTTCTCTCCCAGTGTCTACCAGGAGCATTTCTGCAGGGAGAGCTGCTCTGGACTTACAGGATCCAACAGGAAACACCTATTTGCTATCTGACACTTCGTAGTAGAATGATTGTTTCCAACTCTCCCACCAAAGCAGGGGGCTTTTCAACTTCCATCAGGGATATCCCCATTCCCTCCTCTCAAACACAGAGTGGTCCATTTCTGAGCTAGGAAACCCTGCAGACTGTATCTCCCATGGGACACACTACAATAGCCTGGCTTGGGGAGAAAGCCTGGGGCACAGGGAAAGGGTAGGAAAGCCAAAGAGATGGTGCCTTAACAACTGCTTTGCCATCAAGCATCACTGCACAGGGGTTACAAGGTTCTAAGTGCAGGGCATGTCTTGGAATGGTGCATCTAAGCACTGGTGGTGCAGAGCAGCTGTGTTCACATCCAGCCTAGAGGCCAAGGAGATGCTCACACATCCCTCTCCCACCAGGATACATGGGATACCCTTACTTTCATCATGAACTCAACACATGGCGCCTGGCCTTGTTCTTGCCAAGGGGTACAGAGACTTTGTGCCTTGAAAAGGGAAAAACAATGCCTTGAAAGGGCAGAAAAAAGCCCCCACCATGAGTAACCTCACAGGAGGGACGAAACACACCTGAAACTTTCCCCATTCACTGGAGAAGTTATTGGTCTCTGGGGGATTTCACCAGCACATAAATCCACACACACCAGGAGTGATCACACCATGAGAGCCCATCACAGGGTGATGGCTTGGAGCCTCCTTCCCCTCCTGCTGTCTCCCCAACACAGCTGGGTGAAGGCGATGCAAGGAGCATCTCCACGATGCGCTGACACTGCAGAGTGAAGCTTGGTCAAGATTGTGCCAGCATTACCAGGAACAGGGAGGACCAAGGATTCTCCATCCCAGCTTTGTGGTCACAGAATCCCAGCCTGGACTCAAGAGATGCTTGGAAAGAGCAACTCTTCATCAACATGGCAGCAATTCAAGTTGCCTGGAGACAAGGCAATGGGCTTGAGCTGCTGACAGAGGCAGCAGAGGACAGGGACGCTCAGGCAACGTCGTGCTCTCCTGCTGCAGGAATGAAGCCTGCACAAAGCAGAAAGCACAGAACAAGGGCTTCCACCATCTCCCCTTGAAACCTCTGATGTGCTACACCATGAGTAGGCTGCAGATGATATAGGTCTTCATCAGGCAGGGTGTGAGGTTGACCTTGATGAATCAATGTGATGATGTGAAGCCAAACAAGATGAGCGTCACAGGAGAGATGCAGGCAGAGAGTGGAATGAGCTGGGAATCACAGGCACCATGGCCAAATGGGAGTAATTGGCCCTGCAAGAAGGGGCAAGGGGTGAACTTGAACTTGCCACTCCACATGAAGTCATTCAGTGGTGATTGCTTTTCCATAGCAGCTCTCATGCTGGGAAGCACGTGCTGAGTGCATCCCAGTGGGAATCACATGGATCCCAGCTGGAGAGCTTGGCATAAGGGTCTCCTCTTGGCAACCAGCAACCCCAGCTAGAAAATGTCCTGGTAGAGTCCCAACGGGCTTTGTATGGGGCAAAAGTTAAGGCAGCCAAGTTTATTCAGTCTTGGAATAGGATGCAATAGGATGCCTCTAAGCATGTTGATGGCTTCCTGCCCTCCACATGCTGTGCCTTCATCAGGACCCATCCATCACCCATGCCATCAAGCCCAAGGCATTGGAGATGAAACCTGTTCATACCTCCATGCCGTGCCAGACACAAACACACACCAGTCCATGCATCCCCAGCCCTCAAGCACTGCTCTGCAGCAGCATTTAAGCCACTGCTGATAAGCAGGTTCTAAAAGCAGCCCCTGGCTATGTCGCAGGCTTCATCTGCACTGCAGCCTGAAGTTTGCGTACTACCAACTGCAGAGCCACACTCTGCACGCCCATTTTACCACTTCAGCACCAGAGATGTGCTGGGTGATGAAGAAGCTGGTCCTATCAGTTAAAGAGTGCAGCAAGGTGCCTCTTCCTGCCCCATTGCATCCTTTGGGATCCTGATCCCTGGGAGGACCTTCTGGGTCATAGCTTTCCTGACATAGGCAGAGTCACCTGGTAGCAGCACAACAAGCAGGCAGGAACTCCAGTGATGTGTCACAGGTAAAACCTTGACCAGGGCTGAGCTGAGACTGGATTTAGCTGCACTTAGACTCCTAGAGAGTAATAGGGCCTAACCTGAACCTCATGACTCAACAGGAGGGTCTCCCTTACTCCTCTGTACCTTCTTTGGGGAGATCTTAGGCAAAAGGTCTTCCCTGTGAGGGTGGTGAGGTTATTCTGTGATTCTATTTCTGCACATACTATTTCAATTCAACTCTGTATAAATCACTGTAACCCAATCCTGTATGAATCATCAGCAATTCAGGCACGATATCTTTTAGTATGGAATAGAGTGGACCTTGCCATTGAATGCTGTTGAATCACACATTTATAGGTTTCTATTAAAATTACTGTATTAGTATTTCAGAGTGATTCTTTAAGTGATGCTAAGCATTTAGTTTCATGACACAAGAGCAAAACAGCAGCAGTGTCCAGCCATAATCCTGCTGTGGTACCAGGGTCTCCACTGTTAGCAGGGAGGCAAACCTAAGGATCTCAGTTCTCCAGGCATATCAGCTCAATGCTCCATCCCACAGAAATTAACTGGGATCTCTGGGCACGAAGCTTCACCCTCCATCTCCTGGAAACACTCATTAGAGAAGTGGGATAGACATCACCACAGCCGAGCCCAGAAGGACCAGGGTGGCAAGTAGAGCAGTGAGCTACCAACATGACACACACCACCACCACCCCTTGTCCTGTCCCTACATCCCTTGTCCAAAGCCCCTCTCCAGGTTTCCTGTAGCCCCTTTAGGCACTGAAGCTGCTCAAAGGTCTCTCTTTAAGGAGCCTTCTCCAGGTTGAACCAGCCCAGCTCTCCCAATCTCTTGGCCTGTTTCAACCTAATTCATTTAGCTATAAATCACTGTTCCAGCTAAATGAGGGAGATGTTGCTGCTCAACCTAGTTTTACCTATTGGCCCTTTTTTCACCACAGGCTGGTGGAAGCAGGACACAGGAGGCACTTTGGACATAAAGGAGAGGAACGGCTGCTAATGAGAAGGAGATGAAGAAGCTGCCAGACCCCCAACTCCTACCTGCAGGAGACACAACTTCCCATCCCCAAACAAGCATGGCTCAGGGTGGGATGCGAGCTGCTCAGTGGGGATTGACCCCAGGGGCTTTATCACCATTCACAACCCATGGACACTCACCCAGCAAGTAGCTCTTCACCTTCAGGTACCCAACAGCCAGGCGCAGAATGGAGAGCTTGTCGAGCCTGGTGCGCACATCCTCAGGGAAGGGCAGCAACCCAGTCAGCTTGCTCAGCTCCTGGTTGAGCCGGTCCCGGTGCCGCTTGGAGGGGTTGGACTTCACACCCTCAAGGGGTGGTGGTTTGGGGCTGGAAGAGGCAAAGGAGAGGTTAATCCAAGTGGGCCTGTCCAACCAGGCTCTTTCCAGACTCATGTTGGCTTTAGAGTGGCCACTACAGTAAAACATTAGGAAGCCAAGGTGAAGCCATGTGGCAGCAAAAGGCAATGGCTGGAAGAGTAATGGCCATCCCAGCAGGTCACCTTGTAGAGCTCGGGGTGTGATGCTCCTTAGTTGTAGTGTTGGGTGACGCTCAGATGGGCACTTCCATGTGCAATACAACTGAGATACTACAACCTTGCTCCCACCACTGAACCCTAGCAGGGAAAGTGACACCAAAGGCAGAGACCTACAAGCGATCAGAGCGTATCTTGGCACTCTGGGCAAGACTTTTCCACCCATCCTCCGCTCTGTCCTTCCTCATCTTCCTCATCCCATACACCCTTCCCACATAGCAGGTCTCTCCATGGCCATGCTCCACATGCTCACACCAGGTTCCCACCACAGGCATAGGGTCCACAAGAGTAGTTATTAAGCAGCCACAGGGACCTGCCTCCATCAGCTGCAGTCACTTCACACACTAAAATTGAAGCTCCATACACAGGAGGAAGAGGTTAGTTAATAACCTTATAATGAGTCTTGGGTGTCACCTTGTCTCCTTTGGTTGTTAATGCCAGCTTGGTTCTGTAGCTTGAAGCAAAACCCTTCAAGCTCTCCTTTCTGTATTTGGTTCAAGTGCATCCCCTAACATACAGCTCATTGCCTTGATGTAATTCCTCTAACCACAGCCTCCCCCTCTGCAGGCATCTTTGCTTCCTAAAGTAGCTTCAGATAACAGGATCTGCCAGTGTTTAGCAGCAATTTAATCTCTCCCCTCTACTCCCATCCTCAAATTTTGCCTGGCAGGACTGCTCCCATGTGTGACAAGGGAAGAAATGAGCATTAAATGAGGTGCTTGCACTGCTGAGAGCTACCAAATGGGCTTTCAAAGCATGAATGGAGAATTGGAGCATTGCTCCAGGAAAGCTCAACCATGCTGGTTTCTAACATAGGCATCACAAGGGATATACCCTGCTTTCCAGAGGGGCTGGGTAAACCAAACACTGAACTTGTCCCTGTGAGCTGGGCAAAACATACTGGCATCAGTGCCTTTATTAATCTAACCAATGGCCTTGTCGAACTCTATGAGGCTCTCATGGTCCCACCACTCCAGCCTGTCCAGGTCCCTTTGGATCCCATCCTTTCCTTCCAGCATGTCACTGCACCACACAGCTCAGTACCATCAGCAAACTTGCTGATTGGTGCACAACCAGTGCTGGTCCCGATAGCAATCCCTGAGGAACACCGCCTCAGGGTGTCCTTTTACTTGTGCTGGTGCCCTAACGCAGCACAGCCTAGGACATGGATACAGCATAAAACTCAGCATGGCTGTGCCATGGAGAAGCTGCTCGAACAAGCCTTGTGCATTCAGGCTGGAGCAGAGCCATAGGGAAAGCTCTGCTCCCGGCAGGCCAAAGGCTGTGCCACCACTGCACAGTTGTTTTCCATCAGCTGCCCTTTGAACTGGCAACACAGCAGGAAGCTGATCGCTTTGGAAAGTATGGAATGACATTAACCATTAACAGAGATGAGGGTGCCCCAGCTGATACATTGCCTCCTAATTACTATTAATAGGTTTTGAACAAGTAACAAGCTCTGAGCAAACAGCAAAGGGACTAGAGCATCCCTCAAGCCCCCATCCTTCCCTTCTCAACCAGCTGGCTGCAGATCCCACCATCCCAGCCATACGTGGATCTCCCAGCGGGACCCTGTTGCAAGATGTGCCCAGGCACAGAGGAAAAGAATCAGTTCTGATTCCCATGTTGACCCTGTAGTAACAGGGTTGGCCCTGAAATATCAGGGATCAAGGTCTCTTCTGCTCCAGAAGGACACCTTTTCCCACATGCTGTGCCACACAAATCCAGCCCAAACACCCAGTTTGGCTGCACCACAGGGCTAAATCACTGCTTCAAAGCGAGCAGTAGAAAGCTTGAGGCAGTGTAACAACCCTTTGCATTTGCACACTTCAAGACTCCCTAATAAATATCCAAGAGAGGCTCTGGCTCCCCTTCTTTCCATAGGGTTGTAATGGTGATGCTCACTCTTTTATCCCAGGCTTGGGTTCAGCTCATCTGCCTCTGAGAAACACATATCATAGACTGGTTTGGGTTGAAGGGACGTTAAAGCTCATCCAGCTCCAACCCAACTCACAGGCAGGGACACCTTCCACTAGAGCAGGTTGCTCCAAGCCCCTGTGTCCAACCTGCCCTGGAACACTGCCAGGGATGGGGCAGCCACAGCTTCTCTGGGCACCCTGTGCCAGCGCCTCAGCACCCTCACAAGGAAGAGCTTCTGCCTAGGAGCTCATCTCAATCTCCCCATACTGACACCTTCATTTCCTATACACCCAATGACCTGAGGTAACCAGGCTGATGTGACTTCAGAGCAGGTACACAGGAGGCATTAGGAATCCCAAAGCCAGGAAACTCCAGCAACACATCCGAGTGTGTTGTGCAACAGCTACTGAGCAGCACGCAAGGTAACCATTAAGCAATAGGGATCTTTAGGTAAGAAGGAGTCGGTTTGCAATTGACTTACACGGGCACCAAAACAGAAACCAGCCTGCATCTCAAACTCTCCAACAAGCTTTCCCAAAGGAACACTGGGCATCCAGGACAATCACCACTGGGATCTTTACTTCCCCACCAGCACGCATGCCAGAGCCTACAGAGTATTAGCTCCAATTAACCCTCATTAAAATACCGTAGCCCAAGCACGCTGTCTCCCTATCTCTTCCTCTTCTTCAACGCTCCCATCGGCGCAGCTTCACACAGCTCCACCGTAACCAGTTTGCCTCTCACAGACCAGTTTTCACGTCTCCCTGCCCGGTCCCGCACAACGCATCCCACATTCCCCGTCATTCCCATCGCCCATAGAGGGAACCGGGGGTGAGCCCCCCCACCAGAGCACCGACCCGAGCTGCACCCACCGCTTAGGCACCGGCTTCTTCCTCTTCCTCCCCGCGTACATCCCCCCCGCAACCGGCACCGACCGCAGCCCGCGGCACGGAGCTGGCGGCCGCGCCCGGGGCGGGGTTTAACAAGGACCGCGACGGGGCGGCCCCGGCCCCGCACCGCCCCCCTGGGACCGCGGACCGGGGTCAGCGTCCATAGGGAGCCAATGGATCCTTATGGAAACGGCACCCGCCGTCCGCAGGGGGTGACCAGAGGTAGTGGGACTGTAGGGACAGGACAGGGGGAATGGCTTTAACCTGCCAGAACAGGGGAGACTGAGATGAGCTCTTAGGCAGAAGCTCTTCCCTGTGAGGGTGCTGAGGCGCTGGCACAGGGTGCCCAGAGAAGCTGTGGCTGCCCCATCCCTGGCAGTGTTCAAGGCCAGGTTGGACACAGGGGCTTGGAGCAACCTGCTCTAGTGGAAGGTGTCCCTGCCTGTGGAACTGGATGAGCCTTAAGGTCCCTTCCCACTAAAACCAGGCTGAGATTCCGTGAATTCCCACTGTTTCCAGTGATACAAGGCAGGGGAGAGAGAATATAAGGAAAGGCTCGTGGCTTAGATAAGAACAAGGAGAGATCACTCACCAGTTACCATCATGGGCAAAACAGGCTTAAGTTGGGGAAATTTTATTGCTAATCAAATCAGAGTAGGATAATGAGAAATAAACCCAAATTCGAGCACACCTTCCTCCCACCCCTCCCTTCTTCCCAGGCTTCACTTTACTCCCAAAGTCTCCACCTCCTCCTCTCCAGCAGCGCAGAAGAACATGGAATGGGGACTATGGTCAGATCATCTCATTACACCTTGTCTCTGCTGCTCCTTCCTCCTCAGGGGAGGACTCCTCACACTCCTCCTCTGCTCCAACATGTCTCCCGTGGGAGACAGTCTTCCTTGGACTTCTCCAACATGAGTTCTTCCCACAGGCTGCAGCTCTTCATAATCTGCTCCAGTGTGGAAAACTCCCATAGGGTGCAGTCCTTCAGGAACAAGCTGCTCTGGGCATCCCCCTGCTCTGTTGTGTGGTCCTCCATGGGCTGCAGGTGAATATCTGCTCCCCCATGGACTTCCATGGGCTGTGGGGCACAGCCTGCCTCCCCATGGGCTGCAGGGGAGCCTCTGCTCTGGCACTTGGGGTACCTCCTTCCTCCATCTGCACTGACTTTAGTGTCTGCAGCGCTGTTTCTATCCCATAGTCTCACTCCTCTCTCTGCTGCCATTGCATAGGGGTTTTTCCCCTTCTTAGCTATGTTATCCCAGAGGTGCTGCCACGATCACTGGTGAGCTTGGGCTTGGCCAGATATGGAATTGTCTCGGAGCTGGTTGGGATTGGCTCCATCAGACACAGGGGAAGCTTCCAGCAGCTTCTCACAGAAGCCACCCCTGTAGCCCCCTTGCTACCAAACCCTTGCCATACAAACCCAATACAGCTCTGTGCTCAGACAGTCACCGTGCCCGGAGAGCCATTCTGCCCCAGTGCTCGCTTCCCACCATGCCTATGGGTCACTGTGCCTGTTAGCCACTATGCATGGGGCCCACCAAACCCTGACAGCCACCACACCAATGGGCAAGCCCTTTATACAGAGGTGACCACTTCAGAGCAACTTCCATGCACTTCTGCTGCAGGTCAATGTTCACCCACAGGCTCATGATGCTGCTTTCTGTGTATGATGCTCGGTCACTGTGTTGCTCTTCCTCATCAGCCCCAGTGCCTTCCAGGGCAGGCAAGCTGGTGTAGGCTGGGAGATGTAGTCCTGCCCAGCAGCCACAGCCCCCATGTGCTACTGGCGGCACCTGAATTACTGCTCTGTTTCAACACTGACATGTTCTGTCATGCAGCCACCAGTGAAGAATGCAAAACTGAGCAGAAAGATGCAGTGAAATCCCTTGTTGTCCTGCTCCATGGAATAAACATTCCCTTCTTCCTAACCCTGCCATGACTCTAGGGCTGTGCAAGATAAGCCTCGCCATCTCCCAGAGCCTAATCTTCTCACTGGACCCAGCAAAAGTCATCCTGTTGCCTCTCACTTTACATTGCCTTGAGTTAATGCTGTCCAAAGCTTTTGCTCTTCCACCCAAAAGCTACTATTGAAACTGAAACAGGGGAAGTTCAGATTGGATATATGGAGGAATTTCTTCCCTATGAGGGTGCTGAGGCACTGGCACAGGGTGCCCAGAGAAGCTGTGGCTGCCCCATCCCTGGCAGTGTTGAAGGCCAGATTGGACACAGGGGCTTGGAGCAACCTGCTCTAGTGGAAGGTGTCCCTGCCTGTGGGAGGGGATTGGAACTGGGTGAGCCTTAAGGTCCTTTCCCACCCAAACCAGTCTGGGATTCCATGATTCCCACCTGCGTCACTTTTACAGTGGCCTACGGTGAACAGGACCTGCTGCTTTATTGCTCTATCCTGTAAGACCCCTTTAACACCATCCCTAAGATGAATAACTGCCACCAAATGCAGCCTTCTCCCCATTCACACCCTATTCAGGACATTGGTGTCAAACACCAGAGCTTGACCTGCTGGTGCTATACCAACAACACTCATTCCCATGCAGGTCCATGGAGCCATGTTCCTCTGGCACCCTGATCACCCTCAGGCACTCTGGTCACCCCTTCAGCATCCTGACAGCCCTACAACCTCCACTGATGTGTTGTCCCTACCATCTCACTGGGCAGACTTGCCTAAAGTGCCAGCTATGATATTCAGAGCTATTAAGGGTAGAAAGCCAAAGCCAGATGCAACATACATGGGTTGTTTGGGGTTGTTTTCAAGCTGTTTGCAAATCCCAAGGATGAATTGTTGAGATGAAACTTGATCGCTTCTTGCCAAGGGGCAAAGCAGCAGCAGCAGCTAATGGCATCAGAAATGGCCCAGGTCAGCAGAGCTGATGGCAGGTTGATGGAAAGCGTGTTAATATGTTTGGTTATGACCTTCACAGACCCTATAGAAAGACCCCGTCATTTAGTCACGTCCTTCAATAAGGCAGGCAAGGATCCAGCTCAGCCCTGGAATCACACTCCGGTGCCTCTATCACATGGAGAAGGGAAGCTGCAGGAGCAGGGCTGCCCAGTGTCTCGGTGGCAGAGTCCATGGACACCCCGAGGTTTGGGAAGGACACACATAGTTCAGCCTGTCTTTGCGCCCAATGCTCTCCTCATGGATTTCTCCTCCCTAGCTTCTACAAATGCCTTTCCAAAGCAGCTCTGCATCTCTCTTCTACATCTACTGCCTGCTTTCTTTTGGGAAAACCACCTAATTTACCTCTTTCCACCCATTTGGGATGGACTTTGGGTCAGAGATAGAGCAGTTTTGAGCACACAGAAATCTCCTGTAAGGCACAGTCAGGCTTGGGGCACTGCACATGTTTCAAGCCTGAAAACCAGGAACCCTTCAGGGGTGTCTCTGGCACTACCGAATGCAGCAGGGATGGGACTGTGAATGTTCTACCTGAGCTGAAGGCCCTAAATTCAGGTGCCTGGAGCTGTCTTGAACAGGCAAAACCATACAACTATAGCTGTATTCTACCTGTTGGGGATGGAGAAGTGAATCACTTATCAGGCAGAAGCAGGAATATGGTTGTTGATGTGAAACAGTGATTTAACACTGATAGTGAATGTGACAGTGGTTTAACAAGGCTCAATGGTGAGATTTAGGTGAGACTTTGGGAAGAAGTTCCCAAGCCAGAGGGCTGGGAACCAGTAGGTCTTGTCTCCTTGGGCATTGGAATACTCAAGGAAAGGATCAGCTTGAAGGTGGATGAATTAGCACCCGAGTTTGGCATTTGATGCTTTGGGATTCAATTCCAACACTGAATCATGGAATGGTTTGGTTTGAAGGGACCTTAAAGCTCATCCTATTCCAACCCCCTGCTACGTGCAGGAGCACCTTCCACTAGAGCAGGTTGTACCAGTGGAACTGGATAAGCTTAAAGCTCCCTGCCAACCCAAACCATTCCATGGTCCTATGATCCTGGACACGGTGATGTTACGGTTTGCCGGGCATAGCATTCAGAGAGGCTGGGATAGGAGAGGATGCTCCTCTCTCTGCCTGATCCCTCTTCCTTGACGTCATCCCGCTGCGCCCTCCCTTCGTGTCGCGCCGATCGCGGCCGCGTCTCTTCAGCGCTGCCATGTCCTTGTGGCTGGGGAAGCTGCGCCCTGCTGCTGCGGCTGCCGCCGCCCGGGGTCGCGCGGGGAGCGCTGCGCTACCGGCGGTGAGCGGGAGTGGGCCGAGTAGGGGTGGTTCATGCGGTCTGTGCGGCTGCCATGGCCGCTGCGGCCTGCGGACGGGCTCACCTTGGGGTGCCCCCCGCGGGGATGGCGCCTGCCGGCGGTCTGTGGTGGTGGTGGCGGCGCTGGTTCGTCCGCCGTAGGAGCGGGATTGCAGCTCTGGGGGCCGTGTCTGTGGGGCTGGTTCTGTTGTGGAGGTGCCCGTGAGGAGGGGACGACGTTCCCCTCCTTCAGGTTTAAGGTGGAGACATAAGGTAATGCCTAGAGTGGAGTGTTGTGATTAGCTGGTGAATGGGGTCTTTGGTGTAAGCAGAATATGCAGTGAAAGCTCATGTGTGTAAGTGAGGCCTTTACATTGCTCAGAAAAAGGGTTATTTGGTTGTTATGAGGGTGGCGTTTCTGAGCAGGGCACAGTGAGGATCTGTCTTCGGGTTTACATGCCAGATGGATGTGTGTTTTCACTCATAAAGAGCTGTGTTGTGCAGAACTGAAGCTATAACCCTCCTGAGAGACTGCGAAAGGGTTTGATGTTAACATACACCCACCAACAAGCATCAATACAAGCAAAAGCCTACTGCAGTATCTCCCTTGAGAATGGAGGTCGTGTTGTGTATCCATAGCCTTCAGTAAGCCTGGGGACTTTCAGTCATTGGGTGGGTTCCAGAGCAGAGTTCTGGCTTCAGGTTTAAAAAGCACTGAAAATGGTTGTTCTCACCTGTTCTTAAAGAGTTTTTTCAGCCTAAATACAGCCTCAGCTGCTAAGCTTAAGTGACAGCACTAACTTCCTCTATGGAAACCCCTTGTCTTAAGTGTGTGAGTGCTTATCCTCCTGCAGAAGGGCTGTAAAAGCCCCAC